ATAATAATGCCAAACGTGGTTTACGCACTTTGTTAAAATTATTTAAAATTAATGAACGATGACTTTTTCCCTGCTCGTTTGCAATTTAAAAAAAAGCAAAGAAAAATAGGTTGCCAAAAATTAAGAAGTTGGCCAAGTGAATTAATTATTCTTGGTGCAAACTGAAAAAAATCTTGCCAAAATAAATTTTTTGATTTCTCCACAAATTTTGCACCAAATTTTATAAAATTTAATATTCAGACTCAGACATTGAGTCGTAGAATCGAAATATGGAAAAAATTGGGATGTCCAATTTTGTGTCAAAATACCTATATTAGAACAACGCTATATAAATCTGATATATATCGTAAGTCGTGCGTTTGAAACATGAAAAACGCAATTTGAATTTCGTCAACATGCGCAGTGGAACATGAGATATAGAACCGTTCCCTCCTTTTTTTTCTCCACAGTGTACCTTTTGCTTTAATATCACCTACAATATTGACAAGAAAATTCTCACAGCATAACATAAAGAATCAAAAACCGGCAGACAGACCTAGTGTGCTTTGCCATAATTAACGAAACCGAAACCAAAAACTGATTTTACTGCTTATAATAAGTTGCGCCATCGCCAGTTGTTAAAAGAAAACACAGCTTTATTTTATTTTTACCTAGTCATAACTAACTTTCAGTTGTTATTAATGCATTTTTCTGTCATCCTATGCAAATCCAAAATATCAGCCCCAACAATTTTCAAATTCTAAAAAAACTAATCAATCTCATTTTTCTAAAAAGCTTATTTATGTTTCATAACTGATGCTTTACTTTGCTCATTCTGGCACTTATTCTCTTTTAGTATAATCATACATATGTATATAAGAAGGCAATTACATTTCCTACACAAGTATGTCACACACACATATATAGAAAATAATCCTATAAATGCATGTTTAATTATTAATACAAAAGAAACCCTCTCAGAAACAGGAGCTTCATTATAATGTGTAATTATTTCAGTTTAAGTGTATGTTATCCACTTTCAAACGTTTATTATCCTGGGAAATCAATCAGTACAGCTGGTGCTCTATACAAAAACTTTAACAACTTAAAATAAAATACCATAATTTCCGGAAGAAATGCTGCGACGTTTACGTGTTTAAAACTTAAAATTTTCAACAGATACGGCGTTTGTAACCATGCGCCGTTTATGTGCACTAAAAATAATATGTTTCCTATGATGGTCATTGTACATCGTTTGGATGGCCCTGTCATTGTACATAGACTGGTGCTGTTCCCACGCAAAAGACCACTCATTTGTTTTTTGCGAACGTTATTTTGCTTACATTCTTTCCCATGAACGGACTTACATGCCTTATTCACCCTAAACGGGATCTCAGAACAATAACATTCTTCCCCCTTTCAAATCAACATTCTCATCAGTTTGAACAGTCTCTCTCCTCTGCCATTCGATAGATCTTCCAGGACCCAACCTCTCCCCAGCGCTGCCTTTCCTGCAATATTTTTCAAAGGCGGACACGACACCACCTGCCTCCCAATAACGAACTCTGAATTCATAAATCCGAATTTCCGAATTTCCCGTTCAGCACGAATTGATTTTTCTTGGCATTCTGCCAGATACAGATCCCATCAGTTTGCGTACAAGTACTTGGTGAACAGTTTTTAAGTAAGAAGGGAGCGGAAAATTTTTGAAAATGTCACCTAAACGGCACAGAAGCTATACTGCTGGCTTTAAGCTTAATGTAAAAATTGGAAATAGAGCAGCAGCTCGAGAGTTTGAAGTGGATGAGAGATATATTCGACATTGGAGAACTGAAAAAGAACTTCTTAAAAATATGCCACAACAGAAACGAGACAAAAGAAGTGGTACTGTAAGGTGGCCGAATCTAGAGGTCAATCTTGTAAACTGGATAAAGGAGCAACAAGGAAAGGGAATGGCAATTTTGACTGTAAAAATTCGCTTACAAGCAAAATTTATAGCAAAACAAATGAACATAAATGATTTCAAAGGAGGGCCTTGCTGGTGTAGCAGATTTATGAAAAGAAAAAATATTTCTGTGCATACTAGAACAACAGTCGAGCAATAATTACTGGGCAATGAATTGGCAAGATAATAAGGCATCTTTTCTAAAATATGTGACAGATATTATTGACAAAAAAAACTTCTTCGGTCACAGATAATAAATATAGATGAAATGCCGTTAGCTTTCGACCCTCCTGCAAACAGAACTATTGATGAAATTGGTGCAAAAACTGTATCTGCTTATGATGGGGCATGAAAAAGCACATCATTTACATGTGTGTTAGCTTGTGCCGCAAACTGCTACAAGCTAAAGCCGATGATAATTTTTAAACGAAGGACTATTCCGAAGGGAGATTTTCCTAATGACGTAATTATTTGTGCAAACGAGAATGGCTGGATGTGCAAAACAATCATGCATGAGTGGCTACAAAAAGTTTGGCAGTGTCGTAAGGGATCTTTTTTCCAACCAAAAGGGTTATTGATAATGGATTCCATGCGTGCTTATTTACTCGAGTCAGTGAAAACCAGATGTCAAAAATTGTCTATGATTTAGCAATAATTCCTGGTGTTTTGACAAAAATCTTACAACCATTAGATTTGTCAGGTAATAAATCCTCCAAAGCTGAAGTCCGAAAGCGGTGGGAGTGTTGGATGAGTGAAGGACGTATACCAAAAGCGGTAAAATGGGTAAAGTACCTTATAACGAAGTTGCAAAGTGGGTAGGAAGTGCGTGGAAATCGGTAAAAACATTGTCAATAATAGCAGGGTTCAAAGAAGCTGAAATTATATCCTTAGATAAAGAGACTGTAAACCAAGAACCTTATATATTTTAGAATATAAATGCTATAATTTAACATTTTTACTTTAAATGCTACTGGACATTTAGTGTGAACTAATCTGAAACTTACTCAGATCTTTAATTTAAAATTTAACACAATTATGCTTGAGATTTATTAACTATTTGATTAAAATATGCATAAATTATGTTTGCCTTTAACTGTGAATTATTATTATTCAAAACAGATAAACATGCTTTCAAACCTTTATATTGACAAGATATGTTTAAAAATGGATTTAAAATATGATCTCATCCCATTCCCCTAAACTGTTTACATGTTTGTTCTATTAATTTTAAATGCCTAGAAAAATGGCACCTATTGCAAATGATATATTAATGAATTTTTATATTCATATCAAAAATATGTATCAAATTACTGGAAATGCATTTTCTACATTAGCAAGATTTATGATGCAAAACTTAAGGTTCATTTTATAAACAATTCATCTATATTATACCTAGAGCAAATCAGAAAATGCTAATTCACACAACCCCATGCAAATTCATTATAAACAAGCACATATAGCAGTAATGAGGAAATAATTTCTCTTACTTTAAAATTTGCATAAAGATACGTGGTTTTATAAAAAAAAAAAAATACAAAATTTTCACTCATATTCTCTATGGTTAATAATAAAACCATCAACACCAAACTAAAAACAACAAATCACTATCGCATTTTAAAAAATCCTTATTTATTCCAGAAATCAGTTAAATACCTTTTTTTACTTTAATGACTTTAAATGCTGTTAAATTGACTTCTCTTTCCTTAAAATATTGTTTTGGCACCCATCACTCTCACTAAAATACTCGCTAAAAGCAGCACTCATTTCTCAGCTAAAATAACCAAGAATATAAAACAAAAATTCTGTAGTTCTGTTAAAAGTTACAAAACAACAGATGATATGCACAACACAGCAAAGGTCATGCCTAGGCTTAGAGCAGTTTTCATCAGAAAAATAATGATAGATAATGTTATGCAGCCTTTTCTAATAATAAAAACTTTAATTTTCATACACCTGGACAAAAGCACCATTCAAAAGTCATGCATTTTTTAAATATATAATGCTTTCTTTCAGGCCTATAAATAAATTTTTCTGCGAATTCAAAATGCACAGAGCTATATAAAAAAGAAAAATCCATATTTCTATCGAAAACTCACACAAGTAAAAAAAGCTTCACTTCAGGACCCAAAATGGCTAACAAATATGACACCACATTAAAAAAACTACAAATAACAAAGAGTAATGTTAAAATACTTAGTCTAATAAATCAACCGCATAGTGTATTTAATAAACAAAATTATTGAAAATTTGATAAGATTCATATTCATCTATTAAATAAATATGAATTACATCTTTCAATATATTTTCTTTGTAAACTTAGATAAATATTTATTTAGTTATTCATTATATCCTTGAATATTGTACATCGGTAGTATACTAAATATTGCACTAGATTATAAGCAATATCATGTACAAATCTGTAAACAACTCTGGTATTAATTTCTTGACAATAAACTTAAACTAGATATAAGTTTTTGTATCATCAATCACATATAAAGAAATACAATTTCCTGGCTAATGCATCTCACCGTTTAGCTAAAAGATAAAACTGCATAAAACTTCACAGAATTTTCACATAATGTAGAAACAGTCATGCAAATTATGGCAAAATAACTAACCATAGAGATGTAATATTTATTAATATAAAAGATTTCAGACTTCCAGACATTGTTCATCCCTGTATATCTGAACTGCCCCTAATCCAATGTCCTTTCCATCAATTTGAGAAAAATCACCTTCCTGAGAAATAATTTTTTATGCTATTTCTTTTTTTTTAATTTAAGCTATTTCAAAAATAGCAAATTAGCCATAAAATTGTATTTCTTAAGTAAATCTTTTAATCTATTTTATACCAGTCAAAAAGTAATATATCTGATCTTAACTTTTTAAAATGTATATGAATAAAAATTTTTCACAAAACACCAAGCTGATGCTCGTACTGTCAAAAGTCATTAATTCGGACACCCATAACCCGGAATGATCTATAATCCGGACCTCAAAGCTTCAAAATTTCTGTGCATGCGTCAACCCTTTAGATCATAATCGTTCTTTATTTCATAAAATTACGGTTTCATATTTTTTATTTTATAATTTGTGCATGCCATCTTACCAGATTTAAACTGATGATCTATAATCCGGAAAAATCGATAATCCAGAATCGCTGAAGGCCCGACGAGTCCAGATTAACGACTTTTGACTGCATTATATGAAATGAGTAATAAGTGGCTTCTAAAACAATACAAAAGAGTACTTCACGAAACGAAATAGCACTGAACTGCATGGTTACAAATGACAGAAAACACAACTCACAATTTTAATACAAAACTATTACTAATCTTATAATCAATTCATAATACAGATTTCACACAAGAATGGCTTTTACAAATAAAATTCATGGTATACTATCTCAGGAGTATTATACTATGGCTTAAAAGTGACTTCTACATCATGCAGTTAATATAATTTCACAAAAGTCAATCAAATGTTACTTGAAAAAATAATCTCAACTGTAGCTCTTTCATGTTGAACTATAATAGCTCTCATATTTTGCATATACTGTGAATAGAAAGTATACTTCTCTTGACAATGTTCGTATATTAGTAAAATAATGGCTGATGTAATTAAGAGACAATACTACATTAAAAAAATCAAATATTCATTCACAAGTACACACTTCTAGAAGCAATTTAAATAAGATTTTTATAATCAGATCAATCAACATCTTCCAGTGACTGCAGCAGCAATTCTAAAAATTTCAACACAATGAAATCTAAAATTGGAAAGAAAAAAGGAAACCTTAAAATAACATTTCAATTGAAAAAAGACAAATTAAAAAATTATCATAAAAGATGCTAAATATTGTTGAGAAGAACTAAAAACAACAACAAAACAAAACAAAAAAAAAAAAAAAAAAACTATATCAGCATATAAAAATAAAATTTTTATGATACAGTCAAAATTTGTTAATTCGGACACCCATAATCCGGACCTCAAAGCTACAAACATTCTGTGCATGTGTCGCGTTGACGCATGCACATAGGCGTTTACGCGTTCGCGTAAGATATTTACGGCTGAGAATTTGCATGTGCGCAAGCGCATAATACGTTTACGCATACGCGTTTAATGTATAACGGACAGTATAAGCTAAGCTAAAATTATCTAATTCAGTTAATGATGCAGAATTGCGTTGTTCCTTAATCTTTGAATTGGATCCGGCTTATTATTTTTTGCAGACTGTTAGAGCAATTTTATAAAAGTAAGCTTGAACTTTCGATTATGTCAAATAGAATTTTCCGATATATTTACTAATATGTAAAGGATCTACAAAGCGAAAGTATTGCTTTGAAATCCTAAACCTGTTTCAATTCACGCTGCTCTGCGGCGGGAAGGAAACGCCGTGGCGCGCAATGAATTGGAAGTTGATCTGTCGCACTATACTTATCTTCAGAGCAGATGTTTTTTATTTTATTTGGCTTATAATTCCTTTACTAAATGTAGTATTTCAATCTCGATTACTCCGTTCTTTGATATGATTTAAATCAAGTTCCTCATCATTATAATTCGCTTCCGATAGTGAAGAAAGTGACCCAGAGGTTATTGAAACCGAAAACATCTCGATTGGCAAATTAGTCGGTATTCTCGGCACACCAATTATAGGACTTAAAACAGCGGAACTTTGTAACTAAACAGAAATTATGTCCTGTTTAATAGAATTAAAGAGAAAGTATTATCACATAAAAAATGAAGCAACTTAAACAACTTACATTGAAAGAAATGTTTAATAAAGTAAACAAACAAGTATTAAGCTTTTCTTTTTGTAAATTTTGATACCCTTTAGATCATAATTGTTCTTTATTTCATAAATTACAGTTTCATATTTTTAATTTTGTAATTTCTGCATGCCATCTTACCAGATTTAAACTGATGATCTATAATCCGGAAAAATCGATAATCCGGAATCGCCGAAGTCCCGACGAGTCCGGATTAATGACTTTTGACTGTACAAGATATAATGCACACTATATGAAATAAATAACAATCAGACAAACAAATAATAAATACAGTGCAAAACAGAAATTTTAAAGAAACAAATACAAAGACAGCACAGTTTTTAATTGCTAACTGATGAAATCCCTAAATCTGAGGCCTATTATTTAACAAATACTATTTAACATTACAAACCATTAACAACAATGAAAAAATTCAGTTTATTAAATGATATTTTGCATTATGCATATAATTTCTGCACTGCAAGAATTTTAACTAAAGAGCAACTGCCAAACATTATCAGCCAGAGAAAATATTCTGTTTATCCCGAGTGCTACAACAGAGTTAACTGTGCCATTATTAGGAGGAGGACATGGGTAAGAGCAGATTACGACGATGACAGTATTCAAAGATGCATATGTGTAAAAGACATTAGTTTTGCTTCATCTGTAAATAACCTCATCTATTTCCTGCCACATATGTAATCACCTTATAGTTTGTAGCAGCTATTCATGTTTCCAATAAATAGACTTTCCCATAAATTGGATTCGTCATTTCAAGCCCATAGACAGTAAGTTCACATTCATCATATTTCTGGATAGAACAAAGCTTCCTACAAGCATGGGTGCTCCAGCTGCAATGAGCCTAGGAAGAATTATGATGAATATTACAAAAGAAAAGTAAGTTTGTTTAGATTATTTCCACATTGTTACTTCTAAGAATAGTGTTCTACTATACTGTGAATTAAAATGACTACCTTAAATTCCATCCCTAAAAATTCAAATTCTTTAAGTAAGGGGCTGACAAAGTCAATTAAACTTTTACATCAAATTGTGTGTGGAACTTTAGGTGATCGAAAAAATAGAGCAAGATTGCGTAACTTTTGTGGTTTTCAATCTGATTTTAATATTGAGGAAACAAAACAAAAATTACTTTAAACTTTTACTGGAAATGATTTTAATTCTGTGTGTAATTTGTTACATCTTAATTTTGATTCAAATTCAGATAAAAACTGTGAGTTAATATTGAATAGTCTTTGCGATTTTAAGTTTCTAAAATTCGAAAGTTATGATGATGATAAGTTATCTGAAAATGAAAGTGCTTATGATTCTGACAAAAATGGCGATATTAATTCTGTTTGATCAGAATCACCTCCCATAAATAATTCAGTGGATGAAAACATTATAATGCCTAGCAATATTTCCATACATTTTCGTGATATCTTAGAAACTGTTTCTGAATTTAATGCCACTGATACATATCTGGTCGAATCCTTCATTCGCGATTTAGAAGAATCTTTTAAATTATTTAAGTTTTCTGAATTACAGAAAATTGTGTTTGCTAAAAAATTGCTTACTGTTCTGCTAAAGTATTTATTCGGTCTTTGAAAGGTATAATGTCATGGGACAAATTAAAAGAAAATCTTTTATCTGAATTTGGTTCTAAAATAAACAGTGTGCAACTTCATAGTTTATTACAGAAATGGCACTTAAAACTTGGTGAATCTCTTTCCGAATATTTAATTGCCATGTGTGAAATAGCCAGTTGCGGTTTTGTTGATGATTCATCGATACTTGATTATGTAATCAATGGAATACCCGATCAGAGTAGGCAAAAAATTATTTTGTATGGGTGTAAAACTATTTCTAAATTCAAAGAGAAATTAAACATTTATGAGAAAATTCGCATTCCAGATAAGAAGAATAAGGGTTATTCAAGTACGAACATACAAAATAAAGCATGTGCTATACCATATAAGAGTAAAGAACCAAGGTGTTATAACTGTGGAAGTAAGTCATAAATCTGACTCATGTAACAATAAGAGTAAAGGATTTAAGTGTTTTAAATGCAATTCATTTGGACACAAAGCGGCAGATTGTTATAAAATATCTCCTAAAAATATCCAAGATGCCAAAATTGTATCACCAATAACTCAGACTTGTCAGAAAGAAATGCATAAAACTGTTAATTTAGGTAATTTGCAAATTGATGCTTAAATAGATACTGGTAGTCAAGTAATGCTAATCCGAGAAGATAGGTTCTCCTGAACTTAAGTCGACAGATCTACAGTTAATGGGTTTGGTAATGGGAAAACTAAGCCTATAAGAAGATCTGAAGGTGAATTCGAAATTGATGGTTCTTCATTTGGATTAAATATTTGTGTTATTGCAGAAAACGAAATATTTTTACAAGCGATCATTGGTACTGATATTATAAGGCAAGGGGAATTAACTGTGAATGAAAAAGGAGACGAAATTAGAAAATGCAACTAGAAAACTATTTGACAAGCATTTGTAATGATGAGGAAATCGATTTAAATCATAACAAAGACGGAGTGAATCGAGATGAAATACTACAGTTAGTAAAGAATCATAAGCCGAATAAAATAAAAATATCTCCCCTGAAGATGTAAATAGTGCTGACAAATCAACTTCCAGTTCATTGCGCCCCCACAGAGCAGCATGAAATTGATAAACAGATCTCGGAATGGTTAGAGAAACAAATCATTAAACCGAGCTGCTCTGATTATAATAAGTAATATCGTACTAAGTAGAAAAAAATGCGGTTCGTGTAGACTATGTCTGGACTTTCGGCGCCTGAATAAAAAAAAAATTTGCAATTGCTTTCCTCTGCTATTAATTGATGATGTTATTGATAAATTACAGGCCGCAATAGATTTGAAATACGGTTTTTTTCATGAAGTAGACGAAGAAAGTATACATTTTTCGTGACACAAAACGGACAATATGAATTTTTGAAAGTCCCGTTTGGTCTTGCTAATAGCCCAAGTGTTTCCCAAAGATATATCTACGATATATTGCGTGATCTTTTAAAAGGCAATACTGTTGTAATATATATGGACAACATCATTATTCCTTCCAAAAATGAAGCTCTGGAAATTAAAAAATTGAAATGAGTATTACAGACTGCATCGGAATATGGACGGAATATGGACTGGAACTAAGCATTAAGAAATGTCAATTTTTGAAGCGCGAAATTGAATTCTTAGGGCACAAAACTAAAGATGGGAAATTATATCCTTCTTCTTCTAAAATGAAAGCGGTAATTAACTTTCCAAAACCAAGATGTTCAAAGTTATTTAGGTTTAACTGGTTACTTTAGAAAATTTATATCTAATTATTCATTAATTGAAAAACCGCTTAGTGATTTACTGAAGAAAGATTCTAAATTTAAATTCGAAACTAAAGAATTTTATGCTTTTAACGAATTGAAAGGCATCTTGACACCTGAACCTGTTTTGTGTATTTATAATCCAAAACCAAAAACCGAAGTACACACTGATGCTAGTGCTGACGGTTATGGGTGCGGTTCTGTTACAGAAATCCTTAATTGATAATCAGATGCATCCGGTTTATTATATGAGTAGGAAAACGACAGACATTGAACGTAAATATTCGAGCTACGAATTAGAGGTTAAAGCAGTAGTAGAAGCTCTTAAAAAATTCAGGGTGTACGTATTAGGCATACCATTTAAAATCGTGACAGATTGTAATGCATTCAAACAAACTATGAGCAGAAAGACATTTGTACTAAAATATCTAGATGGGCATTACATTATGTTACAAGATTATGATTACACAATCGAACACAGATCTGGCACCCGTATGGGAACATGTGGATGCTCTTAGTCGAAATCCTGTATGTATGGTAATTCAAGATGGTATAACATTTAAAATAATTCAAGCTCAAGAAACTGATGAAAATATAAAAGTTATAAAAGAAGTTTTGAAGTCTAAGCCATATGAAGATTATTGTTTGCGG